CTTGTACATGGGCACAGGGGACATGTACAGGAATGTTCATACCAACACTGTTCATAACAGCCCCAAACTAAAAGCCACCCAAATGACAGATAAGCGACAGACTAGTCCCTTGGTGGTATACTCCTGCCATGAAATAGGAGACAGAAACCACAAATACCCAGCAAAACTCCATGTCACTGAATATGCTTACTGTATGTGCTTTCTTTTCTTTTTTTTTAAGCTTTATTTATTTTCTATAAGGGAGTACACTGTCACTCTCTTCAACCAGATCCCAGTTGTGAGCCACCATGTGGTTTCTGGGATTTGAACTCAGGACCTCTGGAAGAGCAGTCAGAGCTCTTAACCGTTGAGCCATCTCTCTGGCCCCATGTGCTTTCTTATGAAAGCACAGAGTGGAAGAAACCACACAAAAAGCCCTGGGATGACTAGCACACATTTTAGCACAATGATTAGACCAGTGGTTCTCAACATTCCTAATGTTGTGACACTTTCATACAGTTCCTTATGATGTAGGGACCCCTTAGTTAGGTGTCCATTGCTGCGAAGAGACACCATGACCAAGGCAACTCTTATAAGGACATTTAACTGGAGCTGGCTTACAGTTTCAGAGGTTCAGTCCATCATAGTGAGAAGCATGTTATCATGTAGGGAGACTTGGTGCTGGAGGAGCTGAGAACTCTACACCTTGATCAGAAGGCAGCCAGAAGGAGGTTCTCATTTCCACACTGGGTGGAGCTTGAGCATAGGAGCCCTCCATGGTCCGCCTATACAGTGACACACTTCCTCCAACAAGGTCACACCTATCCCAACAAGGCTAGACCTCCTAATAAATAGTACCACTTCCCATGGGCCAAGCATCTCCAAACCACCACAACTCCCAACCATTAAATTATTTTGTTGCTCTAGAGGAAGGGAAGCCATGTGGTTGGTTATTGAGGAAGATGCAGAGAGCTGCACAATATTCTATTACTACTTATATTCTGAGTTTACTGGTATAGATACAACACGCATCACTTATACTACTACATAAGTGATGCATAAAATTACACTTGCTGTGTATGTAATTATTTATGATTTAGATTTTTTTATAGAAAATAGAAGTAAGAAGATGTGAGAAATAAATGACAGAAACAGCATGGCCAAAAAGACCACACAGCAGAGATGAGAGCAGGAGTAGGGAAAGCTGGTTTGAGTGAGAATGGTTCCCATAGACTCATGTTTGAACACTTAGGTCATGGCATTGGGAAGTGTAGCCTTGTTCAAGAAGGTGTGGCTTTGTTGGAGGAAGTGTGTCACCTGGGGTGGACTTTAGTGTTCTATATGCCTAAACCAGACCCAGTTATTGCTCTCTTCTAGCTGCCAGCGGATCTGGATGTAGAACTCTATTACCTCTTCAGTACCATTTCTGCCTGAGTACCACCATGGCTCCCAACATAATGATAATGAACTAGACTCTGACTTGTAAGCCAGCTCCAATTGAATGTTTTCTTTCTAAGAGTTGCCATGGTCACAGCATCTCTTCACAGCAATAAGACCCTAAGACAGAAGTCTATGCCAGGGCTATAGGGTATTGCTGTGACAGATTTGACAAGGTTTTCAGGAAGATTGTGGAAGGATCTTGGAACTTTGGGCTAGAGAGCCATTGAGTGTTGAGAGCTCAGTGGGATGTTCTGTAGGAGCTTGGAAGATAAAAATGTGGAGAGCATGCAGATGATGGCAGCCTGGTTTATGAAGTTCCAAAGGGAAGCAAAGATTCTAATAGAGCCTTTTGTGTGAAGATCTGTGGTTCTGCTCAGCCGGGGCTGAAGAATAAGCCCCAGTTAACAGGAGAGCAGAACCACTAAATCATCTCTGTTTTACTGGGATACTTGATGCTGGTCAGCTGAAGCTGAGAAATTAGTAATGATTAAGGAAAGACCATCATCACTAGGGGAATTCTTCTGGGAAGTGTTTCCTGAAAGTCAGCACATAGAAGCTGTGTTGTACCTCAAGCTGGTTGCCAGACTTGGTAGTGTAAGAGTCATTCAGGTGGTACTATTTTGAAGGCGTGAAAGGTTCATGGAAAGCAGCTAAGTCTTGGTGCTATGAGAGGCCAGGAGAGGCCATTGATGAAGATGCAGCCTCAGTTGCAGTTGACAGCCCAGGATTGAAAGGGCCATACAAAAAAGCTGAGATTTAATTACCATGAAGAGAGCCCATTGGTTAAAGTGCTGCCCAGTTGCAGCAGAAGACCCCAGCATTTTGGAGATGTCACTGCCATGGAATGACCACCAAGAACAGGAGCAGCAGTGGGAAGTACATCCTACCCAAGCTTAGAAGACAAGCCGTGTGTGATACAGAGGCTGGAGCTAGAGAAGAGACTCAAGCTTTTAGTGGGAACCCAGATACTGGGCATTGCTTTCATCTAACTGTGACTGTGTCCTGGTATTTCTCTCTTAAAGTAAGAGTGTGTTTAACTTATTTTTGATTTTACAGTATCCTGCACCTGAGAGACTAAATTTTGAAAGAGATTTTAGGCTTTATAAGAGACTTTGAATGTTTTAAGCAGAATGAATTTAAAGTGTTTGAAATTGTAAAGACTCCAGGCAGTGGTGGCACACGCCTTTAATCCCAGCACTTGGGAGGCAGAGGCAGGTGGATTTCTGAGTTTGAGGCCAGCCTGGTCTACAGAGTGAGTTCCAGGACAGCCAGGGCTACACAGAGAAACCCTGTCTCGAAAAACAAACAAAAACAAAATTGTAAAGACAGTGAGACTTTTTAAGTTTGTAAAACGTTTTATGTGGTGGTTCTGATATATAATGTCTCATCTTGGGGATGAAGTAAAAAGGGAAAGTTGTGGCTTGACAGTGATGTGCTTGTGTGTCAAGTTGACAAGAGGTCGATTGGGTTGGATAGTTTCATGTTAACTTGACACAAGCTAAAGTCATTTGAGATGAGGAAACCTCAAGACAATGCTTGCACTAAGTAGATAGATAGCTCAGTGGTTAAGAACTTTCGATGTTCTTATGGAGAACCCATAGCCACCATCTCCAGAGGGTTCCCACATGTTCCTTTAGTCTCCTCAGACACATGCACATATGTATGACACATGCACATGCGCACACACATGCAAACACACACACACAATCTAAAATGAATGAAGCTGAAACATGAAGCACAAGGGGATGTGCTTCATTCCTGCCTGGCTTAACCCACCCAACTAGGCCAGTGTACTCTTTAACAGGAGAGAGTTGGAGAGAGGGACAGACTGATGGACAGACAGACAGAGACTAGTGTATGGTATGTAGTGAGCCAGAATATATTATATTGTGGTACTTTTTTTTGGTGGGGGGGATATATTTGGCTGAGTTTTTATAGGGTACATTACAATAACTTTTTACTTACATGCACTGTATAATAACCAAAGGTAGTGAACATGTATCTCTAAAAACAAAACAAACAAGCACAAAAGAGACCTCCATATGATGAGGGCTGTAAGCAAGCCTATAGGGCATTTTCTTAATTAGTGATTTATGGGCTAGGGCCTACCCCATCATTGTGGGTGGTTCTATTCCTGGACTGGTGATCCTGGGTTCTATAAGAAAGCAGGCTGAACTAGGGAATAAGCTAGCAAGCAGCACCCCGCATGACCTATGCATCAGCTCCTTCCTCCAGGTTCCTACCTTGTTTGAGCTCCTGTCCTGACTTCCTTCAATGATAAGCAGTGATGTGAAAGCATAAGTCACATCAACACTCTCCTCACCAACGTGATGTTTGTTCATGGGGTTTCATTGCAACAATGGGTTTTTATTGCTAAGACAGAAAGCAAGGCTAAAAAGGGAAGCAGGGAAATATTCTAAGGTAGCTCAGCCTTTAAAATGCTTACCACACAAATGAGGAGACTTCAATGCAATCCCCGGAATCCAGATAAAAGACTCAGATGGAGTGGTATGGACCTGCAAACCCAGAGATGGTTCACTGGCTGGCCAGCCTAGCATGATCAGCAAGATCCCAGTCCCAATGAGAGATCCTGACTCAAAAAAGAAAGAAGTGGGGGAGGAAAAACAAGATAAAGTCTGATGAGATAGCTCAGCAGGAAAAGATGCTTGCTGCCAAACCTGAGGATGTGAGTTTTGAATTCTATTCCCAGGACCTATTATGGCAAATAGAACTGACCTCCACATATACACATACACACATGGGGGTGAAGAGAGAGGGGGGATTGATAAAGGATAGATGATAGATAGATAGATAGATAGATAGATAGATAGATAGATAGATTGATAATAGATTATAGCGTAACTTTTTTCCTAGGAAAGTAGGCAGAGTTCAGAGGCTTCTATCATTGCTATTGTGTTTTTATCTGAGAGAAATGAAAGGGATTCAGATTCATGTTCTGTAAGTTATTGAATATCCCGCTAAGATGTGTGTGTGTGTCTGTATGTATGTATGTATGTATGTATGTATGTATGTGTTTTAATACTATCAGTAGTTAATGAGCAGGTGGACTCATATCCTAGACTTAATTTTAAACTGTTTTTCCTAGTTAATAACTCTTGTCCCCCACAGTGTCCCCTTTCATTAATAAACTACCTTTGATAAGAACTAAATTTGTTGATACTTATAAGGCACTTATAAAGTGTGCAGGGGAGCTAAGTCCTGAGTCCCTGTTAGTTGTCTTACAATTTTCCACACACAGGTTTTCCCACATAGATAAGACCTAGGTAGGGTGGGCCAGAAGAAGTTCACAGTCCTGCTGGCTCTACATTGACAGCCTGCCTGCCATACTCTGCTACACTCCTATGGGAACCCAGCCGTGGTACACTACCTGTGTACCAGATCATATTATATCTGCTCCACCTCACTCTGCCCAAGGCCACAAACCAGAGAAATGGCGAGGGGTGGGCGGTGCTGGGCATAGATGTTGGTTTTCAGCTGTGTCAAGTAGCTCTGGGTCTTGTTCATGCACCTGGCTTGTGGTGCTCACTGGTTCTTCTTGGCTGTCTCCTCTGCCGGTATAGGTCAGCACTTCTCACCCTGCACCTGCCTCTCCAGGACATTCCACAGCCGTGGTCAGTGTGCCCAGTTCCCAGCAACACCTCTCAACTAACATGTGAGTAAAAAGCTCAGAGCCAACCCAGCACCCTCCCCTGCCACCTAGTCTCCATGCCCAACTCATTACATCCAAACAGCCAACAACGCCCCTTCCTTCTCTTCCACCAATGGTAGTGAGTGCAGATGAGAAAAACACAGATTAGAAAGCACAACATTGCTAGGAGATTGGGTATTGTCTCACTTCAGGTTTAAAATATTGGGTCATAGTTGAATATTGACTTGCTATATCGTCAGTAAAGATACACACACACATGCATACATTCAGGATTGGGGTAAGAAAAAGCACTTGCATATAAGAACCACTTTGATAAAGAGTTTAGGATCTCTTACAGTCCTTAGGATCTCTCACAGTCCTTAGGATCTCTGAGGACTACTGGGCATGTCCCACCTGCAGCCTACACACTACATGAGACCAAACGTAGTCAAGGATGCAGCCCAACACAAAATCATAAGCTAACTTAAAACATTACTAGATCTATTTTGCTTTCGTTATGTTTATCGTAAGCTCAATTATACAGTTGTGGGGCATAAATTTTGAAGATGGCAACCTCATGTCACAATGCCATAAGCTTGGACATGCCAGGCTGAGGTGACCCCAAATCCAGCACGGCAATTAAGTTCTTCCTTCAGTGACTTTCATGAGGCAGCTCTTCTCACAGCTTAGCCTCACTGTTCCCTGTTGTCCTCACTACCATGACTCATACCTGGATGCCACCTACCTGATTCCTGGGTGAACTTTAGAATAGCGTCTTTCTTCTCACTCGTTTTTGTATGACACAAAGCAATTCCCCTCCACCCACCAGTCATCGGTGGAATCATTACGTTCAAAAATACTAATGATAATCACCCCTGCCTCCTACTTCCTAATGTACACTTTATAGCACCCAGCTGTCCCCCAGGCTGTTCCCAGAAGTTAAACAAACCCTACTCTTAGCTCAAAGACTGCTTCATTACTCTGGTCTCCTGAGCCTTTCTGTCTTCAGAACCACAGCAGACAGGACTGAGAAGGCACTAAGATAGACTGTCACACACCTCTGCCACTGATTCTGACCTTCAAGCCGTTTCTCTGCTGGAGGCCAGTTCCCCATTGTCACAGTGCCCATGTTGGCCCCTCTACAATTTCCAGCTACATGGAGTGAAGAGATGGAGGCCTGCTTCCTCCTCCAGCATTCCAGCAGGGTCGCTCCACTTCTGTCTGCCTTCGTGTGTTTAAGTTTCCACTTTTAGTGATTTGTGTTGCTAGGTGCTGGCAGGTGAGCTACAGGGACTCGCTCCCTTAGTCCTTCATCAGCTCTGTGCCCTCCTCAGGCATGCTCCACTTTCCTTACCAGCTCCTTGTGTTTCTAGGTTTGTGGCCCTGCACTGTTACTCGGCCCAAGGACCTGAAGAGCTGGACCTGAAGAAGGGCGAAGGCATCAGGGTTCTGGGCAAGTCCCAAGATGGCTGGCTGAGGGGTGTCTCCTTAGTCACTGGACAAACTGGCATCTTTCCAAGCGACTATGTCATCCCCGTTTTCAGGTACATCTCCAGAGCCCTTCTGTGCATCGAACCGATGATTGTAGACCCAGTGTCTGTTTCAGAGTATAAGCCAAGAAACAGCTTTTGCCTTCACATCCCATTAACTTACACACAAAATATTTATAATTTTCCCCCCAGAGGTCTCATCGTATATTTATAGGCTGACCTGGAACTTAGACAAGTTGGCCTCAAACTCACAGTCATCCTGCCCCAGATTCCCAGGTACTAGGACCACAGGTGTGGACCACAATGCTCAGTTTTGCCTCATTTAATGCCTCGGCCATGCCAAAGAGCCTGTCACATATTATTCTGCACATGAAGTCACTGATATGCAGTGAAATGACTTGCTTAGAGCTGTGTTTGAGGCCAAGACCCACATTTCCCACATCACATCTAACACCAAAACAATACCATTGATGAGACTAATGGAAAAATGTGATCAGATGCCTTCCCAGGGCATCTTAGAAAGGTTCTCAGGACACTTGAGTATGAGGCAAAATTTCCATAGAATCAAACACATGCTTGTCCAGCCATGCCCAAGTGAAAGACAAGTTACCCTGAAGGAGCCCTTCTGTCCCAGCTCTCCCAGTGACATACCTAATCAATGCCACCAACTGACAGTTTGCCATGTCTCTTCACACTGTGCCCATAAATTCACACAGATCTCAAACATGTTGTAACTTCCACCACCACCTGCCCAGTCACGAGACAATGAGGCCCTTGTCACATGCCAAACCTGTCTTTGTGACATGTCAGAGGGTCAAAAACCCTGAGAGTGGCAAACTCTATGAGACACTTTGGCAGGCCATCCTTTAGGTGGGGCCCTGTGTCCAGAGGAGGGCAGCAATAATGGTGAGAAAAGAAAGAACTGCAGCATTGGAGAAACTGATGACACAGGCTGCTTTAACCTATGAGAAACAACGGATGTGAGTGATGTGTGTGCCAGGAGCCAAACAGAGGCCATGACTGGCAGCAGAGAAGAGGGGATATGACTTAGATGACTTGGGTTCAAAAAAAGGCTACATTTTCTAACACATATAATTTCCTTTACACAGCTGGCTGGCCAGGTAGAAGGTCCCAATTTAAGAAGAGTACAGGCAAAATTGAGGTCCTTAAGCACCTCAAGAAAGGGTTTTTGTGTGTGTGTATGTGTGTGTGTGTGTGTGTGTGTGTGTGTGTGTGTGTGTGTGTGTATGACAGAAGTTGGAATAAGACATCATAACCATTACTTTGGATGTAAGATGCCTAGAATTTGTTGGAAGAATAGCTAACTAAAAGTGTGTGTAACTGATGCTTTTATCTCTTTAAACATTTACTGCATGTTCTTTAGATTTAGTTTCTATGCGTATTTTGCCTGAATGTATGTACGTGTACTGTGTGCAGGTCTGATGCCCTCAGAGACCATAAGACAGCGTTAGATCTCCTGGAGCTGGAATTATAAATGGTTATGAACCACCATATGGACACTAGGAACCAAACTCTGGGCCTCTGCAAGAGCAACAACTTTTAACTACTGAGCCATCTCTCCAGTCTCTTAATGTTCACTAAATGTCAGATATCATACCTTTCCTGAACCTGGAAAAATATTAGTAAATAACACATGCAAACATACATACACACACACAGAGAGAGAGAGAGACGGACAGAGAGAGAGAGAGAGAGAGAGAGAGAGAGAGAGAGAGAGAGAGAGA